AAAGACCCATTTCCATTTTTCCTTTTCTCATTTTTTCTTTCTACTTTCCCCCTCCCCCTCCCTATTTCCTCTTTCCTTTTGAAAATTTTTTTTCTTATTTAAAATAGTCTATTGTACATTTTGGTTCCTATTTACACTTTCAATGTCTTACACCAGAGAGACAATGTGATATTTACAAATGTGTCTGACTTATTTCCCTTAAGAGTGTAACTTCAAGGTGCATCCATTTAGCTACAAAATCTCAAGTTTATCCTTCTTTATGGCTGAGTATAGCTCCATTGTATAGAAAAACCACATTTTTTTATCCGTTCATCAGTTGATGAGAATTTGGGTTGTTTATGAGATCTGGCTACTACAAACTGTGTTGCTATAAACATGGGCGCACATATATCGCTGTGATATGATGCTTTTAATTCTTTTGGGAAGATACCCAGCAGGGGAATAGCTGGGTCACATGGGACCTCCAATCCTAGTTTTTTGAGGAATCTCCAAACTGAATTCCACATTGGAATTCCAACAATGAAAAGGGTTCCAAACTGAATTCCATAGTGCAAAGGGTTCCTTTCCCCCCACAGCCCTACCAACATTTGTTGTTGATTGGTTTCTTGATATTAGCTATTCTTTCTGGAGTGAGATATCTCAGTGTTGTTTTAATTTGAATCTCTTGAATGACCAGTGATGTTGAAGATTTTTTCATATATTTATTTGCCTTTTGTACTTTTTTGTCTGAAGTACATTCATTTCAGATGCCAACTTTTGGATTGGGTCTTTAAATTTGGGGGGGGTGATCTGATTTTTTTCAATTCTTTTTATGTTCTAGATATTAGTCCTCTGTCTGAGGGACTACTGGGTAAAATTTTTTTTGTGGGTTATCTCTTCACTCTGTTGGAGATTTATTTTGCAGTGCAAAAGCTTTTTAATAGAATAAGAACCCAGTTGTTGATTCTTTGTATTACTGCCCATGCAGTCCAAGTTTTGTTCATGAAATCTTTGCCTACCCCTATGTCCTCAAGAATTCTACCTATTCTCTCTTCTAGCAAGTTTAGTGTTTCTGTTTTAATATTTGGCTCTTTGATCCATTTTGATTTTAGTTTAGCGCATGGTGAGAGACATGGGTCTAGTTTTAGTCTTTGGCATATAGAAAGCCAGTTTTTCAAACACACTTATTAAAGAGGGTATACTTTTTCCACTGAATGTGTTTGGTCCCTTTGTCAAAGACAAGATGTCTGAGTGTTTTTGGAGTTGTTTCTGCCTCTTCTAGTCTGTTCCATTGATCCTCAGGTCTCTCTTTTTTTTTTTTTTGCCAATACCATGCTGTTTTATCACAGTAGCTCTGTAGTATTATTTCAAGTCAGGGACTGTGATACCTGATGCCTTGCCTTTGTTGCCCAGAATTTCCTTTGCTATCCTGGTCTCTTCTGGTTCCAAATGAATTTTAGAATTAATTTCTCTAATACTGTGAGGTATGTAGTTGGAATTTTGATTGGGATTGCATGAAATCTTTATAATAATTTTGGAAGTATGGCCACTTTCACTATATTGGTTCTTCCTACACAAAAGCAAGGGATGTCTTTCCATTTTCTGATATCTTTTTTGATCTCCTTTTTCAGAGTATTGTAATTTTCAGTGTAAAGGTCTTTTACTTCCTTTGTTAGACTGATTCCTAGGTATTTCATTTTTTGGGATGCTATTGTGGAAGGTGTTGTTTCTCTAATTTCTCTCTCCGTGAGTTTGTAATTTGTGTACAGGAAAGCTATTGCTTTATAAGTGTTGACTTTGTATCCAGCTATGCTACTGAATTTGCCTATTAAATCCAGAAGTCTTTTGTGGAGTTTTTAGGGTCTTTATGTAGAGTATCATGACAGGGTTTTTCAGTAAAGGGGGGCACGCTGGATCATTAAGAGTGTGAGGTCCAGGTATTGCCCCCAAATAAATGAAGAAGAATGTGAATGCTGCTAGAATATAAGTATCACATAAATAGAGACCCGGACCTGGTTTCTGTAATGTTCCCAGGACCTGCCTGTTGTCTTGGCTACAGTGGATCCTTGGTAGAAATTTAGTGAAATAAATGGATCTTTGGAGATTATCATTGAGAAGGTGATGTACAGTCTTTCCCATATGGCATATTAGAACATGAATTCTATAACCTAAAAGGAAAAGAGTGATGTATTTATAAAAGGAAGTGCATGTACAAGAAGTAGTCTGTCTTGTTGAAAACACAGGTTCCGGGGTTCGACCTGCTGGTAGAAAGTGCTGCTGCATCACTTACTCCTGTCTGACACTGAGGAAAGTTGCCTGCTATGTTACAGCCTTCCCATCTGAAAAACAGGAGCAAGAACAACAGTGGTCACTGGACAGATATGGACAACCTGTTTGCTGTAGCTACCAGTTACACAGAAGGCTCTCAATGAATGCCAGCTTTCATAATTTGAGAAGTAAATAATATGAAATTCAAATGCCTGTTTTACAGTGTTTACAATAATTAAGTAAAAATGAATCCTGCCTTGGTTCATGCCTTTGTTTAAAACAGTTAGAAAACAAAATATTACATGTCTGCAAGGCCATTTTTCTTTCTTTTTGCCTCTCAGCAACCTTGTTGTAAGTTTAAGGAATTTCCTTTCTTATGAGACTTGGCATAAAAGTGAATTTATCTTTTACAGTAGAAAAGGAAAAGGCTAGGACTATTTTCTAGGACTTTAGGACTTTCTAGGTAGGCAGCATGTTTACCATGCATTACACACACTCGCCACCACACACACATTCACACACACACACACAGAAACACACACACATGTCCCCTTGCATGCACACAACCCCCACACACAGCTGCTGGGCTCTCAAGGTCTGATGTGACTCATCTGGCAGCAATGGTGATGCAGGGGAGCTGGTGAGTTCCACCGTGGCTGTGGCAGCTCCCAGGGGCCCTAACAACCCCCTGCTCCCAATGGCTCAGGCAGTGGCCTCGGCCAGTGTCCCTCTTTTCCTGCCTCCCATACCCAGAACACACGCCAGTGAGAGGAAGGAGAGAATCTCTCCAGGGGTGACCAGGCCCGGGTTCTTCTGCCCAGGCAGAAGGGCAGAAGATCTGCTGCCTCAGTCTCCTCAGCATTCAGCTTCCCAGGGTTGAGCACCTAGAAATCATATTTATTTGAAACAAGGAAAAGAGGAAAGCTGCCTTAAAAGGAAAAGCCAGCCACCTGACCCAGGCTCTTCCTCTCCTCTCTCCTGTGAAGGATCCAAACGAGTCTGTGCCACACCTGCCCCCTAGAGGCGGCCCAGAGCTGGACATGAGGTCAGGAACCACTGTTAGGGGCTGGAGAGCTGATGCAGCCTGGTTTCAGGGAGAATCACACGGAAATAATGAAATACAGGTGAAGAAGCTTAGGCGAAGAAAGAGCAGAGGAAAGGCAGCTCCCTAATGTGGAAAATGAAATATGGTACTAAGTACATTCAATTGAGTCCCTTTAACCTCCTCAGGTCACTACTTCCAAACGGACACCAAAGCATTTTAACAACAAAACCTGGGGGAATGGAAAGGTTAACTGGAGAGAGAAATTACTTTTTAAAATGTAGTAGTGGTAGTAGTAGTTTAATAATTACTAAAAATCTACTATGTCAGGGACTATTCTAGCTTTGCTCAGTTAATTAATATGGATAAAATTCTGATAGCGTCATTGCTTCAATATTCAAATGAAGAATTTGAGACATAAAGAGATAAAGAATTTTGTCCAAGATCAGGCAGCTTCTGAGATACAGGTGGTGCAGTTAATAGCTGCAGACATTAAAAATTACTGTGGTGCTGTGGGAACTTGGGAACTTGCTCAGAACATAAGGTGAATGAACTGAACAATACGCTATGTGTATAAATATACCAAAAGTCATATCATTTTCCATGTATCTGCAAATTTAAAATCTACAAGTTCACACACCATAATGATAAGGGTTGTTAGTCTTGGTTACTTGATGGTGGATATTTTTAATTTGCCTTCATGCTGTTTCCCTGAGTTTCTTTATGAGCATCTTGTTTGAAACCATGAGTTTAATGGCTTCTTATTTAATTAAATTAATAATAATTATTATTAATTTTGGTACTGGGATCAAACTCAGATCTTATGCTTGCGAAGCAGGCATGGTGCCACTGAGCTAAATCCCTGGCCCTATTTTTTTTTTTACTTGCATGTGTTTGTGATAGATAACAGTTGTATTCATCTTGGGAAACTGATGCATGTACATATTGCATCTTGTGATTTTTATTCCCCCTTATCTCCTCTCTGCCCAAGTCTCTCCCTCCATCCTCAGACTCCCTTCCTATTTCCGGAGTCTTCCTCCTTGTTTCCTATCATTTCTTTTATTTTCCTTTTAAATTGTTTATATGTTGGGTTGCTAATATTAGAGAAACCATGTGATAGTTATCCTTCTGCTTCTGATTTATTTCACTTAGCATTATGGTGATCATTTTAACTCACCTTTATGCTGTTACTCTGTTTCTTTATGAACATCTTTATCAGCATATTCTACTTTTCAGCTGTATGAATTTGGAGCCCTTCTTGCTTTTGTATCTCAGTGTCCTCATCTATAAAGCACAACTACAAGTATCCATTTATATGTTGGTCGTGATGATTAGACAGTTGAAAAACAGAAAAAAAAGCCTAACATATAGAACATTCTTATTAATATTTGCTATTGCACAGGTTGTACTTCTTAAGCATGCAACATATAAAAAGAGCATGCTGAGAAAAAGAGCTGAAAGGCCTTTCCATAGAAAAGAAGGCACCTTTGTGACCACCCCATAGTCATACCAAGAACCCCCTGTGGACTACATCCCCATCTTGACATGTACACAGCTGCCTGCAGCCTGTTCTGAAGGCTCCAGTCACCCAACCCACCACTTCCTTCCTCTGCCCCTTCTGGCCACGCCTTCCTGCCACTGTCCTAGAGAGTGCAGCCACCAGCTCCCCACTTTTCTGCCTTCTCTTCAGGGACCCAGCCTACTATTCAGGATGTCACTCCTGCAAGCAGTCACCTTCTTCTCTTTCTGGGCTTGTGAGTCACTCTCTGCCTATTTCAGTCCTGATGAGGGACCAAAGTAATTAATTCTTCCATCATTTCTTTTTATATTCTCAGCAGTTCATGTAAATTCTTCTCTTTTATTTGCAGTAGGACTTGGAGTGACAAAACTGGAGCAGTTCCAGATATCTGTTTCCACGGAAGTAAAGAAAAGTGTTAACATACATTGCAGGGTATGGAGCACCCAGTTTGAAACTAAACCCATTCACTGGTACCTGCAGAAAGCAAATCAAGCTTTGGTGCATCTGATTCAAGTAACCTCACTAACAACCCCAGCTCGAGCAAAGAACAACAGAGTTTCAGCAAGAAAAGATCCTGTAACTCTCTCCTCAACTCTTACTATAAATTTCGTAGAAAAAGAAGATATGGCCATTTACTACTGTGCTGGGTGGGATGCACAGTGCCTGGATTGTGGAAAGGACCCACACAAGATCCCCCTCTCTTGGTCTGTGCCCACCCACTTCCTTCCCAACAGAGGAGCCCACAGCCAGCCCACAGCTGCTCTCTCAGCCTCAAACTCCTCCTTGCTGCTCCCCTGGGCTCTCCAGGAAGCCATCATGGTTGGTGCTGTCACCTGAGTCCCAGCTGACCCCAGCATGTGGTTCCATATCTCTATCTGAGGCCACTTCCTACTGAGTTCCAGCCCTGTCTGTGCACTGAGAGGACATGGGCTATGCCACTGTCACCTCATCAGCATTCAGAGATGCTGGGTAAGTGGCCAGGGGCAGCACAGGGAGGGAGTCATGGTTGCTACTGTCATCACATACAATGGACACATCACATGCAACATCTCTGTGGAATAACTACCTCTGGTCCAGGGTACAACCAAAGACACTGAAGCTTAGAGAGCTGAATCCTAGTGAATGACCCAAGACAAGAAGTTATGTCTTTCCAACTGGACTGTGGGGCCACACTGAATAGTTCCAGGATTGTGGGTCTGTGAGTGAGTGCTAGGCTATCTGAACCACAGTGGGGATGGAGCAGGAGCCATTACTGTGGGAGGTGAAGGGAAGAGGATTCTTTCAGTATGATGTCAGCAGAATAGAACTGGCTGGAGCCATTGAGGCCATTTAATGTGTTCACAACACTGGAATAACCCTTGATCCTGACTGTCAAAGAATCTGGCCAGCCAAGAGGAGTGGATTGTATGCGTGTGTGTGTGTGTGTGTGTGTGTGTGTGTGTGTGTGTGTGAGAGAGAGAGAGAGAGAGAGAGAGAGGAGAGGGAGGGGGAGAGGGAGAGGGAGGGGGAGAGAGAATGGGAGAAAGACAGCTCCTCTGAAAACTCCCAGTTCTTTTCTGGCATCATCTCCTTTAACCCACACTTCCTATAAGGTCTGCTCTGTTATCCTCACCCAGCACATGAGTCGGGAGGTAAGAGAAGCACTAGGTGGTGGTTCAGGCCCTTGTCCAAGTCACACAGCTGGTATGTGGTTGGGAGTAGGTTGGGACCCAGTCCATGGCTCTTCTTGGCTATTACACTCAAGTGTTTCTTCATCAGGGGACCAAGAACAATGCATTGCTCCCATTCCACAGATTATTAATGAAGATATTCACATCATATTTCTAAGGAAGGATTTGCTATACATTCAAGTGTAAAGTTAATTAAAAGAATAGAATAGAATAGAATATGGAGCCATATATGTGAACACCATTTAAAATAAGAAATGTGCAATGATCCAAACATATTGTTACATAAATATGCAGAGAAAATACTAAACACAAATGATGAGGGTTTCCATTTTCTTCATTTTATAGTGCATTTGCTCAGATTTTCTTTAGTGAAAATCTGTTACTTATCTGGCTTCCACAGCTAAACACAATTATGGCTGTGTGACTTGGGATATGACCTCTTTGTCCCATTTTTCTATTTTATCAGAATGAGCTCTTAATTGCCCCACCTCTCTGGATTGGTGAGTGCAAAAATTATTTAGTAGAAGAAGACATTTAGAACAGTGTTAGCAATGGATATTAGCTATAACATTAATTGTCAAGGTCAGATGTAAATTGTCTTTTACCAGAAGGAAAAATAAATGTTACTTTAAAATCTCCCTATCTTTTATACTGTGTGTGAGAAAGTTCCAAAGTTGCCTCATTTAGTATCAAAAGAGCCTCACAGAACAGTAATGAGGGATCCAGAGAGACACCCAGGTTAGAATTTAGAACTCTCCACCAGCATTTCAGGCCTCAGACTGAAGGGTGAATGACAGGGAAAGAGACACCCAATTTTTACTGCATTCAGATGGGGGAATACCATGCAGCCTTGGATATCCAGATTGTATGGATTTATCAATGAAATTTTTTAAAAAGTCACAATGCAATATAAGGAAAATTTCATAAAGTATATAAAAACTTCAAAAAGAAATGCTTGTTTTGATAGATGAATGTTTGAGAAAAGGGAACAAAATTCTCCAGGAATATAAGAGATTATCTTGAGAGATATAGTGTTTGAATTTCTTCTACATATTTTTTATAATTTTATATTTCCTAAATAGGATACTATTTATTTTTGCTACAAAAAGTATTTTAATGGAGTGATTTTTCCTTTTTGTTGATAAGAGTAACACTAGACTTGATAATATCATTGAAGAATCATTATATCTAATATTTGAGAATTTTTCTGTAATGTGATAATGTGAGCCTCTTAATACTTCTAAAATATATATACATAGGTGAGATACACATGTGGAAATTGAGGCCAAAATTCTCTAGGTTAAAGTGATATAAGAGGGTGTTTAACTGTCTTTGGTCCTTAAAAATAAGGTTTGCATAGATTGTTTAATGACTTGCATCAGTGCATGCAATGAGCTAGCCAGAGAAAGAGAATATAATGCCAAATATGCACATCCCACTGAAATGTATATGTATGTAAAGTAATATCAAGGAGTCCTATTTCTATTCATAGATATATTGAAAAAGTCAAGGACTCTGAATGTCACTTAACCTCTCTGCCACTGATCTCATTTGCCAAATGGAAATGATCATAGCACACACCTGAAAGGGCTATTAGAAGATTGAATGAGATTAAAAGTAAACATCTCGAACAGTACCTCACAAGTAGTGGGTCCTCATTAGATACTGTGTTACTCTCACAACTGTCATTACATATGAAACATAACATCAATTTGAGCACACTCCCTTGTGACATATGTTCATGAGATGATCCATGGTGCAGGGTGAGTATAAGGTGATTTCCAACATTGCTCGGTCTCCTATCTGCCGTCAACTGCACTCTAGTTTCTTCTTCTGAGGCACCCTGGTTATAAATGAATGCAATTTCTCTGAGTCACAATCTGCTTGGTGTCACAATCTGCCTGGTGATTGTCTGCCATGACCCACGTGGCTGAAAAGTTCACAGAGTGAGAAACGATGGTGAGAGATTAAGAAACTCAAAGAATAAGACAAAGATGACAGTAAAATTTACATAGCTGAGGCCAGATGCAAAACTCTTTATCCTGATGAGTTAAAAAGTTTGGCTTGCATCCTCAGCACCTTTATTTGTAGTGTAGATAGGGAAAGTGAAAGGGGATGCCTGATTTCTCTGGCGAGTGGGCGGGAAGGAATACAGTCCTCTCATTGGCCAGGCCTTGCTCCACCACGCCCTCTTGTCACCTGTTCTCCTCGGAGGGGCCCTGCCTTATCAGGTGAGTTAGGCCTGGCCATAGTGATCTATAGCGCATTGCTCCCAGCAACAGTGAATTTAAAAAACACAAACAATTCCAGTGTTGTGCATTGGTAATGTTAAATAATATCAAGAAATATTTCATTATCTGATTTTTAAAAATATTGTGGAAAAATTAAGCTCAGGCTTCTTACCAAAGACCTGAATTAACAGCAAATTGCAGAAAGGTAACAACGGGGACAGAACACAGCAGATGCATCTTCATAGTTCCAAAGCAATATTTCTCTGGAATGAAATTACAGGGGGAAAAGGTGAGTGAGTCATGGATCCACCCCTGTACACCCCAGATAAACCTATGTATTCCAGGGATGTGTGTGCAAATAGTTAATCCTATAAACTGACCAGCCCAGAGCCCATGGAGCAGGAAACCCTAGAACTGCTCCTCACTGGAGCAGCTCATAAAGAATCCAGGAAATCACTTGATCCCCCCATTTCCTCATATACCTCAGGACATCCCTGCCCTCCTGCCTCCAATCTGAGAAAACATTCAAAATCTTTTTTCCAACTTTTTGAAATCAGCTCTATATATTCATTATCTATACTCAGCTTGCTGCACACTATGTTCCAAGTACTGGGCACTGGTACACTGCTTTTTAAGAACATGCAAATAAAGCCTTTCTTCTACTATTTATTTAGTTTGATAATCCCTGTAATCTGCTGAAAGCAACACCCAATACTAAGCACTGTCATTTGAGATGTAAATGCTCTTATCTATACAGAGCTGGCACAGACCTGCAAACTCCTGCCACACCGGTTTTCCTGCTCTACTCAGTGTGAATCAGTTGAATGAAAAGAGTCTGAATCTTGCAAACTTGAACTCAAGTCCCTGGTCATTTTGAATTCTGTAACTCTCAATTTCCTGTTTGATCATTAATGGTCATAAAAATTTATAGATGGAGTCAAAAGAAATAAATGTATAGGTGGTATCTCATTCATGGTAGACCCTCTATTCTTCCCTTTTCTTCCCTTTTACACACAGGAAACCTTGGTGCAGGGCTTCTTATCCTGGAACAGGGAGAAAGGAAATGGTAAAGAGATTTGGAGTAGAGGGTAGTGTAATTCCCCAAGTGAGATTCTTCCACACAGGGGTACCTACATGCATCTCTGTTCAGAATACACAAACAAACATTTCTTATTGGTCAAAAAGAAATATGGGCTCCACTTGTCATATTTGGTTGTGGGTGCTGCATAAATAAAGAAGTATTTGTAGCACCTGTAAGGATGTGTCAAGCACCCAAAGTGCAGAAGTAGTCCCATGGAACTAGAAGATCATTAAATTCAGAACAAAGACAGATGGCAAAGAGCTGAAGAGAAGAGGTGGCCACTCCCATACACTGTTCTTGTGTTTTTATAAGCAGGTAAATAGTACTTTCAGTGGTGGAGAAACTATGGCATGCATGCTGCAGCAGACACACAGAGCCCTCTCTGTTGGCACACGAGCCAAGTCATCCCAACAGTGAAGCATCAAATAACAACTGCTTTTTTAAAAGCTAAAACCTCACTATTCAGGTTTAATTGCAGTGTTGGTAGTTTGTGATAAGTGGGTTTTGGGTTGCAGTTTGGGGGCTCAGTCTTTAAAACTGAGTTTTAAACTCACCATCACTGCAGTATACTATGTAAAAATATATCTGATATTATTTAAGGGATGGCACTGTGAAATCAAAATTATACCAAATTGTAAAGGTGAGATGTTTATAGAAGTATATGAATTTCTC